CAAAAAAAAAAAAAAAAAAAAAAAAACATTTCATACATCTCAATTTACCATTTTACCCTTTAAACATTGCACCGACAAACAAACAAGACCAAAATAATATTTAAATAAAATATTAAATGTACGATAATTTAAGCCTCTCGAGATTCTCCTCATTCTCTCAAATTTCATTTGAGCTACCTAAATAATACATTTAAATACATCTTTTTAAATATATTTTAATTCTTCCATTAAATTAATAAAAATACTCATAAATTTTATAATTTATCTAATTTTTTTTAAATATTCAAAGGTTTCCATGTTTAAGGGTATTTTCGAAATATTTTAAAAAGTTTAAAATAACAGTAAAGTAATTTAAAAGTATGGTTGAAATTTAAAAGTTTTTTTAGATAAAATATAAAATTATTGAGTATTTTTATTAATTAGCTATAATTTTAAAAAATATTTTTTAAAATTAATTTTTAAATTTTAGCTTACAATTATATGTGTGTGTATATATATTAAAGGGTTTGATTTTTAATTTAATTTAGCAATTTAATATTTTTTTAAATTAACAGAACAGAATGAACTGTAATACCAAATGATTGATGTCACTGTGAAAAAGAAACAAAACCGACGAAGCAACTTACGCCGTCGTCTCTTGGCCGCCGCCCTGGGTTCCGGTACTGACGAACAATCCGGCCGGAATGCCGGCCAATCTCTGATCCTTCCAAAGATCAATCGTCGAATCGAAAAACGATTTCATCTGCGCCGCCATGGATCCATACCTCGTTGGAAATCCAAACAAGAATCCGTCCGCCTCTACCATCTTCCCCACCTCAATCACCGGCACGCTGTCGTCCTTCGCCGGAACTTTCATCTGCTCCAGCGTCTTCGGCGGCAACGTCTCCGGCACCTTAAACAGAATACCTTCAACGCCATCAACCGAATCGACTCCTCTCTTGATCCTCTTCGCCAATAGCTCGATGTGACCGTACATCGAGTAATACACGATGAAGATCCTCAGATTCCTCGCGATTTCTCCGGCCGGATTGTGAGATTGAGCGGCGGATTTTTGCTCCTGTGGCGGCGGAGGATGATCGGGATCTGGATCGGAGACGGCAATCGATGCTCTGTTCTTGCTAGGTACGCATCCACCGCCTTTGCCCATTTTTTTTTGAAAATTTGAGAATCGGAAAATCAAGAGGAGTTTTCGATAATTAATTGATTGATTGATTGATGAGAATGAAGAGGAATTTGAACGGAGATTGGATTGGACTTTGAGTTGACTGGATGATGATTATGTTATAGGTTGTTGATTCAATTTTTAAAGTTACAGGTTGTTCTTTGACCAGAAGAGGCAAATTTGAAATTTATGGAAAACTTGTTCTTCATCGTTATCAGATTCCGATTTTTACAACAAAAAAAAAAAAAAAAAAAAAAAAAAAAAAAAAAAAAAAAAAAAAAAAAAAAAAAAAAAA